CCTACCAGCTGTCATCAAATCCTTTATCGGGATCCTACCAGCTGCAATCGGATGCCTACGGGGATCCCACCAGCTGAAATAGGATCTCTATATGGGGTCCGACCAGCTGTAATAGGATCCCTGTAGAAGTCCTACCATCTGCAATCGGATCCCTACAAGGATCCTACCAGCTGTCATCGGATCCCTATACGATTCCTACCAGCTGCAAGAAGATCCCTATGGGGATCCTACCAGCTGTCGTAAGATCCCTATAGGGATCCTACCAACTGTAATAGGATCCCGATAAGGATCCTACCAGCTGCAACAGGATCCATATAGGGATCCGACCAGCTGTCATAGGATCCCTGAGGGGTCCTACCAGCTGCAGTAGGATCCTTATAGGGATCCGACCAGCTGCAATCGGACTCCTATAGGGATCCTACCAGCTGTAATAGGATTCCGGTAACACATCCCACCAGCTGCAACAAGATCTTTGTTAGGCATCCTATCAGCTGCGAGAGGTTCCCTACAGGGATCCTACCAGCTGCAAGAGGATCCCTACAGGGACCCTACCAGCTGTCATAGGATCCCTACAGGGATCCCACCAGCTGCAAAAAGATCCTTACATGGATCTTACCAGCTGCAATCGGATCCCTACAGGGATCCTACCATCTGAAATAGGATTCCTATATATGGGGTCCGACCAGCTGCACTAGGATCCCTATGGGCATCTTGCCAGTTGTAATGGGACCCCATATAAGGATCCTACCAGTTGTAATGGGACCCCATATAGGGATCCTACCAGCTGTCATAGGATCCCTATAGAGATCCAACCAGCTGTTCACCGTGGCTTGTAAGAGACCTGGGAAGAGGCCTAGTAGGAGACCCTAATCATCATCACCACCACTGACACCACTTCCACCACCACCAACACCACCACCACTACCACCATCATCATCATCGTCATCATCATCATCATCATCATCATCATCATCATCATCATCATCCTCATCCTCATCAACATCATGATGATGATGATGATCATCATCATCAGCATCAGCATCATCATCGTCATCATCAGCAGCATCAGCATAATCATAATCAGCATCATAATCATAATCATCATCAGTATCACCATCATCATCACCATCATCATCACCACCACCATCATCATCATCATCATCAGCATCATCAGCATCATCATCAGCAACATCATCACTTCCATCATCATCAGCATCATCATCATCACCATCATCGTCATCACAACAATCACCACCATCATCATCATCATGATCATCAGCATCATCAGCATCAAAATCATCATAACCACCACCATCATCATCATGAACTTCATCATAATCATCATGCTTTCCTCAGTCGACGGCGGACCGAGACGATGGGGTGACCGTGTCTTGTAGGAGACCTGGGAGGAGGCCGAGTTGGATCCCTACAAGGCGTCCCTTTGGGTGTCTGGGGGCCGTTTGGGTGTCTGGGGGCGTGGGAGTGCGGGGACGTAAGGGTGTGGGGGGGGCGCCGAGGCCCCTGTGTAGGAATCCGTCATTCCTCAGTGAATTGCAAGGAAGTCTCGACCGGGAGCTGTCCGCGTTGTTGTTGAACATTATTAATTCTAAAGAATAATTATTGTTGGGGCCCCTGGTGCACGGCCCCCCTGCGCCGCCTAGGCCGCAGCTACATTTTCATCATTTTCGTGAGGAAGCCTCGACGTGATCAAGATCCGGTTGTTTTGTTGTAATCCGCTTTCCCTTGCAAAAAACACTATAAAATGACATTTCTTGTTCTAATATAATCAAATTTCAAGAATCCCTTGCAAAAAATAAGGTAAAGTGGACATTCGCGCGCGCAAGACGAAATCCTTCCAAAAGCTTAGTGTTCGGAACGATTTTAACATAAAAACATCAAAAAACCAATGGTTTTTCAACAAAAAAATGTCAAAATCTCATCCCGCGCGCTCTTGCGGATTCGTAGGAAACCCAACACTTTTTAAACATTTCTGTCAAACGGGCTTTTGCGAGCAACTTTTTCGAACTTCTGCGACAACGGTTGCGCACCTGCCAGGGCCATCATCCCTGTCAAATAATACCATGCGGGACACATTCGTTTTTTCTTCGCGCGCGCACGCCGTCGTCGTCGGCCGCGGGGCCCTGAATAGTAGCCACGGTCGTCCGCATGCCACGAAGTGAAGTGTCCGAACGTCATAGGGCGGGAAGCTGGGTGTGGGTGGTGGCGAAGAGTCGTTTGGAAATTTGGTAGAGCTTGAACCGGCCCCCCCACAAAGTGGGGGTATTGCCCGCCTCCTATGAAAACCCTGGCACTGGTGAGAACGGAGTGTCCCCACGTGCTAGTAATTGTTGTTGTTGAACATTATTAATTCTAAAGAATAATTATTGTTGGGACCCCTGGTGCACGGCCCCCCTGCGCCGCCTAGGCCGCAGCTACATTTTCATCATTTTCGTGAGGAAGCCTCAGGAAAACGATGTGATCAAGATCCGGTTGTTTTGTTGTAATCCGCTTTCCCTTGCAAAAAACACTATAAAATGACATTTCTTGTTCTAATATAATCAAATTTCAAGAATCCCTTGCAAAAAATAAGGTAAAGTGGACATTCGCGCGCGCAAGACGAAATCCTTCCAAAAGCTTAGTGTTCGGAAGCGATTTTAACATAAAAACATCAAAAAACCAATGGTTTTTCAACAAAAAAATGTCAAAATCTCATCCCGCGCGCTCTTGCGGATTCGTAGGAAAACCAACACTTTTTAAACATTTCTGTCAAACGGGCTTTTGCGAGCAACTTTTTCGAACTTCTGCGACAACGGTTGCGCACCTGCCAGGGCCATCATCCCTGGCACTGATGCCTTTGCGTATTCCCACTTCGGCACAGGAATTTGATTAAAAAATGTGACGAACTCCTCTCTCTCTGTCTCTCTCTCTTTGTCTCTCTCTCTCCCGCTCTCTTCCTCTGTCTCGCCTTCTCTCTCTCAGTGTCTGTACCATGTCTAGCACTGGTAACAAAGGTATTTGTGTATCCCCACATCCGCCCAGGAATTCCACAAATGTGACCAACTATCTTGCGAGTACGTATCATCTCATGTGTGTCGTGCACACTATCAAATGTAACAGAGTTGTGTATTCCCATCATCCCAGGAACTTGACCCAAAAATGTGACCAACTCCGCTCTCTCTGTCTCTCTCTCTGTCTGCTCTCTGTCTCTCTCTCTGTCTCTCTGTATTATGTATTGTATGGCACAATTGCACCATGCTGGGCACATGCGCGCCCCGAATAAGTGACCAAGTTCTGTGGGTGTGTACCCCACGCCAGTGTAGTAGCCACGGTCGTCCGCACGCCACGAAGTGAAGTGTCCCAACGTCATAGGGCGGGAAGCTGGGTTTGGGTGGTCGCGAAGAGTCGTTTGGATATTTGGTAGAGCTTGTAATGCCCCCCCACGAAGTGGGGGTATTGCCTGGTGTCGTATGAAAACCCTGGCACTGGGGAGAACACCACGCGTTCGGGTAAAATGATTGTTGTTGTTGTTGTTGTTGTTGTTGTTGGGGTGGAGCGCCGGGGCCCGGCGCCCGCTCCTATCCAACAACAACACCAACAACAACAAAAACAACACCACGACCAACAACAACGACACCAACAACAACACCACCAGCACCACCACCAACAACTACACCAACAACAACATCAACAACAACACCACAAACAATAACCACAACAACCACAACAACCACAACAGCACTAACAACAACAACAACAACAACAACAACAACAACAACAACAACAACAGCAACATCAACAACAACAACATCAACACCACCAACAACAACATCAACAACGCAACAATCATAATCTTCACCATGAATCCCCACTTCAGCCACGCACCCAGGGACAATGAATAACCCTTCGGCCCCCTCACTCCGACCACGCCCCGATTTAGAGGAACAGGAACTCGCATAAAGACACAAAGATCAACTCTCGCAGGTCTGCGCGAATTTCTTAGATTGGCGCTGGACCCCCCGCTATGACGCGTGTAGGGCGCAGGGGGGGGTCCATCGCCGATCCATGGGAAGGGCTCCTTCGAGGACCTCTTCGGACGCCCAAAAGGATATGGAAAAAACTGCGTGGGATGCCTCACAACAAATGTTGTCCAAAAGGGCAGCAGCCGCTGTTGGACAAGTGGCCTTCTGTCTCGTGTGGACAACGTGCGAGGCGACAGCGACGACGAGTCCTGCTCTGAATGAAGAGGAAACGCTGTCGGTCTTCGTGCCAGACCTCTCTCGAGGAGGGAGGAGGAGGAGGGAGGCGGGGGGGGGGCATGGAGGAGGGGAAGGAGGGAGGGTGAGGACCAAGCAGCCTCGATCCTCGACCCCGCCCCCTCTCCTTCTTCCCTCCTCCTCCCTACCTCCTCCTCCCTCCTCGATCGCTTTCGATCCCCCTGCCCTCGCCCCTGTGCCTCCTCTTGCCTCTCCTGCCCTCGGCCCGCGGCCATCTTTTCGCACCCGTCTCGATCGCACCCGGCCCATGGGCACCCTAGAGGCTCAAGGCGCCCGAGACATCCTCGGAACACGACCCGTCAGTCCCAAAACCGTGCGACGAGCCCGCATGCCCACCGACTCAGCACACGGTGTGGTCACCACCCCGTTTGGATGCCCCCCGATTCTCCCCCGCCTGTTCCTGCTCCTGCTCATGCTCCTGCTCCTCCTCTCCTCCTTCCCCTCTCCTCCTCCTCTCCTCCTCCTCCTGCTCATCCTCCTCCCTCCTCCTCCTCCTCCCCTCCTCCTCCCTCCTCCTTTCCCTCCTCCTCCTCCCTCCTCCTCCTCTTCCTCCTCCTCCGTCCTCCTCCTCCTCCGCACCCGTCTCGATCGCACCCGACACGCGCAACCCGATCGACCGCACGGGGCGCGCCGGCGCGGCCGGCGCAGGCAGGCGCGCGGCAGGCGCGCGGCGGCCGGAGAGGGGCCGGCGGCGGGCGCGGGGCGGCGGGCGCGAGCGGCGGGCTCCCGTCGCGCGGGGCCGGGGCGGAGTCGTCCTGAGGGCGGGGCCGCGGGGAGGGGGAGGAGGAGGAGGAGGAGGAGGAGGAGGAGGAGGAGGAGGCAGCTGGAGGGAGGAGGAGGAGGACGAGGAGGAGAAACAGGAAAAGGAGGGGGAACATGAGCAGCAGGAGAAGGAGGAGGAGGAGGAGGAGGAGGAGGAGGACAAGAGGAGGAGGACAGGAGGAGGAGGAGGAGGAGGAGGAGGGGGAGGACGAGGAAGACGAGGAGGAGGAGGAGGAGGAGGAGGAGGAGGAGGCAGCTGGAGGGAGGAGGAGGAGGACAACGAGGAGGAGAAAGAGGAAAAGGTGGGGGAACATGAACAGCAGAAGGAGAAGGAGGACTAGGCACTGCAGGGGAGCGCCGCGCAGTGCACAGGCGACCTCCTATGGGTGGGCACCGCATAAGGCGCCGCCCGTGTCCCGAGAGCGCGTCAGGACCCACCAAAGGATCACGGCTCTCGGCACACAAGGCGCAACATTGTTATGAAGAAGGCACTGGAACGAACATTTGAGCATCCCCAAGAGGGCCTGGGACCGCACAGTGCCAGTAGGGAAAACTACAGCGGCTTGACTAGGAGCCGAACCCATCGAATTCCTGGGTCCGTGACCACCAAAGGCCTCGGTCCAGGCATAGAACGTTCGTCGGCCCTCTCTTCGTCAGCGGGGTGCCGACCCGAAAGAAAAAACTGGCGGTTGCGCTGGGCACGCTCCGAGATCATGTGACCGTCACCTGATTCACAGTCAACCAAGAGGTGGCCTGCAGTGCCTGTGCGTTAAAAAAACACATGGCGCACAAAACACAGCATGTCCATATGAGACCCACAGTCCGTGGCCTCGCGAGGCCTCCGCGGGCACGACACCCCGAAGAGGAACAACGGAGGCTGGAATGGTTTCGGCTTCCCGAATGGGTTTATTGTTACGTCCGCCTACTCTCCTTCCTTTGCTACCGCTAGCATCAGGAAGGAAGGCAGGGCCTTCTCTGCTCGGAATGACAGGGTCGATCCTACCTAAGGCCTCACAGCGGGCAGACCCAGCATCCGATGGGACCAGGACTCGCTGAGTAGCATTGACCAGCTCTGCAGCGCCGGCCGAGGAAATTTGCGCAGCATCCTGAAAGAGGTGACTGTGGGCCGAATGTTCCTGGCGCTGGTGCGAGGGAGAGCCTCGAGAGGCTCGCGATCGAGAAAGCTCTTCCCGCGCTCAGGTCCCGTGGAGGTCCCAAGCACAGTCCCATGGTCAAAGCCGCGGGCAAGTCACCTCTCGGCGCCCTTCCTGCGCACCGAAGATTCCGTCTTGGCCCCGTCCCTACTGAAATTGCCCCGCCAAGAATTCTGGACAACACAAATCAGGGCGCGACAGCTGCTCGGATCCTCAGGCATTACGGGGGACGTCGCTCGCTTCACTCGCGTAGGTTGAGCACGGGGAAGAGCGCTGATCATACCAGGACCAGCATGGTGCAACGCCGCGGAGACAAGCCAATACAACGCTTGACGAACAGCAGTCAAGGCCACCTTCATGGCACGCTGTTGCGGCTTGTCACCGGCACGCAGGCCCCTGCCCTTGCGCGCCGCCAAGTTAGCCCAACCAGCGCTTTCCTCGAGCGTCGGACGAGTCCCCCGCCTGATGTCCTTTGACGCGTGAGGCCCGAATGGCCTCTCCAAGGCGCCCGAGGTCTTCGAGCGTCCTCCAAATGGAGACGCATAAATCAGAATTCGGCCGTCTAGGCCCACAAGTGATTTGTGGCCCAGCCTCCAAACCTCCCAAGGTCCCAAGCAATCGGCATGTACATGAAAGGGGGGGGGAGACGTTAAGCACCTGCACGAACGCATGCAGCTCAGATCTCGGGGAGCTCTGAGAAGGCCCAGGCAATGCCACATCTGCCATGCGCTCAATGTTGTGCCCCCCATAGCACGCGCATCCCCCCCCCTGCCCGCGTCGGCCCCGGCCAAAACCACGACTTCTGACACGCGCCGCCCGCGAAGATTGCTCCTGTGGCGCTGCCCAAGGAGCCGCGCTCAACGTGCCATCTCTGGTTGCCATCGCGCCCCGGCAAAGGTGGGAATCGCGACCTTGGCGGGGGCCAAGAGCTCCCCCTCGCAGCGGACGAACCCCGCGCGCCGATGCTGCCTGTAGCCTCCGCGCGCTGCCGTGCTCGCCCAGGACATTCCCAGGCAATATGACAGTGAGTGCACTGCTCACTCGCGCAATGTGTACAGCGCGAAGTAGGGGCAGACCTGCAGCAACGCAATCGGCCTGGCGACCCAAAGCCGCCTTCGACCACAGTGCGCGGAGTGGCAGCTTCATTGCAGGTGGGGCTCCAGGTCCGCGGCAGCGGTGTTCCAGGCGCCTCTAGGCCCGAACCACTGTCTTCAGGCACGAGCGGGGGCCCCTTCAGGAGGCTGATGACTGGTTCTATCCAATGCCCAAGAGGCTCTTTGGGGTCCATGCTGGCGTCCGCTGGTTTCTTCCTCGCAGCCCAAGGCTCGCAATGATATCGCGCTGCAACTGCGCGGGCTGCATGGCCGCCATGACCAGGCCCCTTCGCTTGCGAAATAGAAGCGGGCGACTTGCGGCGACCTCGGATCCCCGGGGCCCCCAGCGCCGTGGCATATATATACCCCGAGTGCTGGACACGAAGCAACGCTTTCTTACCAGGAAGGAAGTGGTTGGCGGCGAGGGTCATTTTGCTAGCTGCAGGTCCAAGCTCCATAACCTGTGGAAGACCCACCAACAGTGTTACTTGTTGGGCACCGGCTTCACCTACTATGCTGGTGGAGCTTATGATGGCTATAATGCTGTCATCGGCATACAAGTCGATCGTCTTCGAAATAGCGTCGGCGGGTCGAAAGAGCGAGCCGAAAAGGGGGGGGCATCACGCACAGGAGGCAAACATGGCCAGGGAGCACCCTGGCAATACCCCACGCACTGCCCAAACGGGCTGAGGGTAGCACCCATCACGCGCAACCCGTCTCGCACCCTTGCACATCTGCAGCGCGAGAACGAGCAAGCGCGCAGGAAAAGAATTGGCGACTGCTGCGCCGACCAAACGCTTCCAAGGGACTCGACCAAAACACGTGGCAATATCAACGATGGCTTGGACGGCGGCGCGGCAGGCGTCGCTGTCAGCGGCGGCTGTCTCGGCCTGCGCAAGCAGACGCGCCGCCACGTCCGAAATAAACTTCGGAGCTCCTAGCGCCCAGCATGGTCGCCCTACATTGGCCGCCCAAGAGCGGATCCACCCATGACGAGCCTTGGCCCAGAGCCGGTAAACCGACATGAGCAACGCAATCGGCCGATCTCCCCTCGATGGTCCTGCCAGCAGAACGATGTGCGCATTTCGTGACAAAGTTGGCCGGATACCCCAAGTCTCACATATGCATGAGGGACACCATTAGCGAGAGGGCGCCGTTCGAGATGAAGGACCAGTGCCTGGGTCTGAATCTGCATGTCCCAACCGCGGTACTCGATGGGGGCCTCAGGCCAGCCTGACATAGACCTGATATCCGCATGGGAGGATACCGAGGCGCCCATGAACTGCAGCATGTGCGAGTGCATGCGTGGAGGCTGTGCGCTATTACATGCGATCATGCGCATTATGATGTCGACAGTGGAACGAGATATGCTATCACGCAGGCGCCGTTCACGATCCCATTCCTCCCATGATACTCTCAAAGCGTGCACGCGCATGCTCAAATTGTCGGCCGTCACCCCTCACGCACATGAGACGAAGGTCATGTGCATGTACTCGCAGCGCGCGAAGTGCGCGCGACTGCTGAGCGCCCGCTGCTTGCTGCCGCGCAAGGGCACCACCCGCGGTAGGATAGCGATGCTGCGGCCCCTCGTGACGGCCAGTAAAGTCGGCCTCGGGCATGTCGAGCTTAAAGATAGCAAGTTGCCCCTGCTCGACACCTTGGTGCAGAGCAGCGCTCGCCGCGTCGAGACGCTGCGCGCGCGTGGGGCGGCCGCCGCGTCTTCGCGAATAATTCCCCATGAACTGCGTCCAATCACGGCCTGGCTTCCCCCCCTGGGGCGATGGTGTTCGCCGCCTCGATCCTCCTGACCTCCAATGGGCGGAGCTGGTTTGAGCGGCAGCGCGCGCGGGCCAAGCCGGCGAAGTACTTGCTGTGATCGTGGTCTATCGGGTAGTGCTGCCGCGCTTGGAAAACCTGGCTCGACGAGGCCTCGTCGTTTGTGTCGCCAAGAAGTCAGCAGGCATCCAATTGTCCGAATTACCCAAATTTCCAGAGGCAGAATCACGATGCGTTCCGTTTGTCGAGTATCCCACGCCACCTCGAAGTCGCTGGGGAAGTCCTGAGTCACGAAGCACTGCTGGCGACGCAGTCCAGTCGCAAGCCGCTGCAGACTGCAGCCCGCATCGCCGAAGACGTTCGCCCAACTCCGATAGAATGCCAGCGTTCTTTCCGCCAAGACGCTGCCCTTGATGCAAATCGACCGAGCCGACATTCAGCCCGCCGCGAAGGCCAGCTTGCGCCTGCATGTATACAACATGCCCTGCGCCGACTGTACGATCAGGCGTGAAAACTCGCAGCGGCACCGCGCTGATGTGAGTGCGCGCACAAAAAAAAAAAAAAACGCTAACTCCACCAGTGGGCCTGTCGGCATCGGGGAGCGACGCGTCTGCTAGCAAAGCCGACTAGCCTCGTTTGCGACGCCATTCTTCGGCGAGAAGCCGAGGCGACCCGCGCAGGTGCAGTTCTTGACCAACAGCGACATCATGCGTAAGCAGAATCAGAAAGTCCCCCATCTGAGGCCATCCCGATACATGGAAAGGGAACGCACTCACTGCCAGACCTTGCGTCTCCGCGCTCGCCTGGGCACGCAGCCGCGCCGGGCGACGCCTGGTCGCCGCTCCTCCGCGCGGGGCGGTCGCGGGGCCGCGCCTGCCTCCGGGGGGGGGGGCCTTGGGGTGCTCAGCGAGCTGCCCCCCGTGCCCCCACTGGCCATCGCGCCGCGCCTCCAGGCCGTCGGGCCCCGCC